TTTTTGAGATATTAAAAAACAAAAAAACCTACTATTACACCTACATTACAGTACCCTTAAACTAAGCTCAAGACATCAAATTTTTAATGTGGAAAACAAATAAAATCACGAGACTTTTAGTCTGCTAGATAAGTTTCACTATTGAAATGTCAAGATTAATTACAAAGCTTCTTTCTAGGCAAGGCTAGAAACTCTCAACAACAATAAATCGTGAAAAACAAATTCTTGAATCATCATCATAGTAATTAGCAAACCAATTCATTTTTAGAATGATCCAAAAATTCAGCCACTATCCAGTAACTTTTTCCCTGCTTTGGCTTCATATACCACCCTTTCTGTTCAATTATGCATCCATGAAGAGTGTTTTTCTCAATACCGAAGTGATGGACAGATATGCAAAAGACTGATCCTGAATGAAGGGGGAAAGAAAGTAAAATGGCAGTCCTTAATAGTCCAAAAAGTGCATTTATTGCTAATAATTTGAATTTAAACTTTTAAGATTTGCACGATAAAGGATTAATGATTTGAGCATAACGCTACCTGAAACCAGTACTCCATCCATCCATCTTCATACATATCCTCAAATTGTCCTTGATATGGCTAGAGAAATTACTAGAAAAACTCCAAGAAAATCCATGTCCTACAAAAGTGAATTAAATCTTAGCATTTTCTTGACAAAATGATAGAAAATCTCTCTGACAACAGTGGGGATGAGAAGGTCAAGCACAGTAGGGAAATTGAAGTGCCTTAAAAAGAAGGATGCACCACCTTCTTGCATTACCAGAGAGGTCATTGCTTGGAAGGTAGAAGTTTGTTGTTGCAACCATGATGGATCCTAAGTACACTACCATTTATTCATCGAGACATCTGATCTTGAAGCATACTATGTAAATCAATTCATTGTTAAGAAAACTGAATGAAAAAGGAATACAGTAGTTGTATCATTGCCATATGTAATAATAGATGAATTCAAGTACGTTGCTTAAAAAATGTGAATGATAGAGATATTGGGAGTGAGATGTTCTAAAGATTTTCTATAGTAAGAAGGTCCACCTTATTGTAGAGAGAAACATTTGACAATTGAGATTTAAGGATGAAATAAGAGAGAAGATAATTGAAACTTGTTCAATGTTGATTTCTTACCAATTATAAACGAGAAGAATCTCAATCCTCCATGGACATCAGGCCATCCCCCTTCATTTGTTGCACTCTCCTGATATGGAAAGCGAAATTTACAAGAGAACACCAATAAAATCCATCTATTGCAATATGCAAATGCAAAGTAAAACCTTAATTAGCCTTATTAAGATGAAGTAATACTACAAAATATCCTCATAATTAAATGGTTCTCTTCTTGTTTAGATGTACTTTATTATACAAAAAAATTAAAATGGAATAGAATGATGTGGCAGTAACATTGAGTCTAGTTGCATCTGGAAATGTGCATGAAATTAAAGAAAATAAAAAGTTTACCTGAAGTAATTAAGCCTGTAGGATTTTGATGAATTTGTTCAAGATTTGAGTCAAGTACTTAAGAAATGGTTGCAGTGCTATCCTATGGGAATACCTGCACAGAATAGATAATATATATAAGATAAGAAAAGGCAGTTGACCAAGCCTTCCTTTGCTTTATATACCTAGTAAATCAAAATTTTTAGTAGGAAAAGCATAACAGAAAACATGATAACCCAGTTTCAGCTTCATAGCAGTAGGTTTTATTACCTGAACCCCATCTATCTCAACGAAGGGGATGGTATGGGTGAGAGGCCAGTGGTCTCCTTTCGCCTCAAAGCGC